AACTGGCGGTCAGTTTCAGCAGCGGCTGAATCTGGACGCCAGTTCCGACTTACATACAGATTCAACTTAAGAACAAACCTACAGTCCCTATCTTGTACGTAACCCGGGGACTGCCTGTATCTAGTTAAACAAGATTCAAACTGTGTTTTCCTTTAAGTGCACATTGCTTTAATTCTTATGCAGATTTGCTGGTGAGGTTTTTAAAGCGGTCAGTTTCAGCAGCGGCTGAATCTGGACGCCAGTTCCGACTTACATACAGATTCAACTTAAGAACAAACCTACAGTCCCTATCTTGTACGTAACCCGGGGACTGCCTGTATCTAGTTAAACAAGATTCAAACTGTGTTTTCCTTTAAGTGCACATTGCTTTAATTCTTATGCAGATTTGCTGGTGAGGTTTTTAAATTTATTTTGAGAAGCATTTTTCTCATACTGGGCTCTTCTGTTTTCTAGTTTAGAGCAGATGTGTGGGAATGGGAAACTGACTGACATTAATACAGCTTGTTTACAAGATCCACAGGCCATCTCCATCCTACAGCATCTTCTCAGGTATTTACTGTTTGTCTTTTCAAGAAGCAGATGCCTGCATGCTAAGTAAGTTATTAGTTACATGGTAATGAAAGAGTAGAAATCTCTATATATTAAAAAAAAACTTTTCCTGCGGGATTACAAAGTGATGTCATCATGTGACACTGTGTCCACAGGCACCACCCCCACTAGCTAATCTTGTCCTTGCTTAGGTGGGGAAAGTTGAAGGAGTTTGGGGAGGTGGAGGCAGGAAGCTTCGGCAGGGAGGGGAGCCACGAGTGGGGGGGAATGACAAGGGAGGAGATTGTTGTCCTGAGAGAGGCAGTGGCTGTGGAGCCAGAGCTTTCAGGAGTCCCTGTGTGCAGTGTGGGCTGGAGTGCCCAGAGGAGCAGGGACTGGCAAGGTTGGGGAGGCAGGGCCACGGATTTCCTCTTGGAGCCCCCCTGCCTGCAGTCCGGCCACCCCCCTTTGGCTGTGCGACCTCCTCATGAGGATGTATAGACAGGCCTGAGGCATGGGGGCAAGAAGCGAGGGGCAGCTGGCGGGCTGAAGAGGCAGGGCAGAGCCCATGTGGCAGGGGCCAGCGTTGGCTTCCAGAGGCACGGGGAGGGGAAAAAGCCCTGAGGCTGTCTGTGTGCTCCCACTTCCCTTCCACCTCCTCCAGCTGGGGGAACAGCAGCACAGGGACATACTCCAAGGCGGCTTTTCCTGCTGCTCAGCAGGGCTCTGAGTGAAGGGGGTGGGGGAACAGGGTTTTGGTTTGAGGGGGGCAGGCTAGAACACCCTGCCAAGACCCTGCACTCAGACACTATCCTGCCATCATCCCACACCGCTAGTCCCCTCAGTCATCACCCTGCCGAGACCTGCGCCCCCAGTCTGCTTGCTCACCGTCCTGCTGAGAGATGCCCCTCACACCCCTTGTGCACCGAGACCCTGTGACCCCAGCTCCCCCTCACACCCTTTCTGCTGAGACCTTACACCCTCAGCTTCCTCACTCACCATCCTGCTGAGACCTCACACCACCAACCCCCTCAACATCTCCTCCCACAACACT